GCGATCCTTAGGTACTGCGACAAATGTGGTGCTGCCGATCCCGACCAGACAATCTCTGCTGTTGCCCTTATTGCTGCCAGCTCGCACAGGTCGTATCATAACTCACTATGGTCCCTTGATATGGTCCTACCAGAAAACCGAAACCTCTTCGCTAACTATGTATAAGAGCGACGCAGCACGCATCGTCGCCATCACTGCTGACGACAACCTTGTAACGACTCCAGTGTGCAGCCACGATGACCAGAGCCTCTACGACGACAGCGATGTACTGCCGGTGCTGTTGCTGTTGTTGGACACTGGCTCTAGTATGCTCATTTAAACCCTAAGTACCGAACTGGCGGATACTGGCCATAGTAACTCCCATATAGATACCCTACGTACTACCCTATAGGTACTTAGGGCTCTTTTGGATAGAGGGTTTAAAGGTTCGGGTGTCGGAATATTACTAATGTAGGAACATGATTATGAACCCTGGTTCTCCGTTACAAGGTTCTTTAGATAAACCCGAATATGTTGGGGATTATAGGACGGGTTTAGGGTTAAGGGGTTTTAATCAGGTACCTGCATTACATCCTTCGTGCCAGTTGCGGCCCTTGCCGGCTTGTTTCCCTCTGCTTGCCTTTACCCCACCCTGCACTCTCCGAATGACTCCCGTACCCTAAACAAGCAAACCTGAATCCTGAACCCCTAGAGTTCGCTCCACTGTCCAGAGTTTAGGATTTGATGGCCTACCTACATGATCCCCCTTTCTCAGGTGCACACCTGCTTTATGCCAAGGATCTGTTGCATAGCAAAGTAGTTGCCCTAAGATCTCCCTAAACCCTAGAAAAGGGACATACAAAAAAGGGGCGGGGTACTGTTGATGGACAAAATCCTGCATGACCTTAAGGACCTTAAACTATGGGAATTATGGTATATTCCTTATAATGGGTAATGCAGGATTTTGTCCATCAACAGTATGACCTTACAGTAGGCTTTAGGGTAAAGCCCTGAGCCCTTCGAAACTCCCGAGCTCTGCGTGGAGGTTCAGTTGATTTAGTACCTCTAGGGTTTAGGGTTTAGGGTTCAGGATGGTTTAGGGTTTAGGGTTCAGGATGGTTTAGGGTTTAAGGGTCAGGATGGTTTAGGTGTAGGGTAGGGTTTAAGGTTTCAAGCTTGTCCTGTGCTTACATCAGGACGACTATGCAATCGCGGAGGCGACAGGTATATCAACTTGTCAGTATAGAGCTTCGGCGATACTTACAATAGCCGGCAGTATAGATAATGCCGGCTCTCCGATAACAGGGGGCTAAATTTTTATTGGGGGGTTGAACCATCATCACCAACGACAGTCCAAGGGCGCAATGACGTGACCAGGGCTTTTTCAGCGACGGCCGAGAATTTCAGCGTCGGTGCTGTGTAAGGGCAGGGCATGAACTCCTTGTAGCATCGTGCTTTACCAGGACATAATATAGGGCCCTCAACAAGCACAGAAGGGTTTTTTGGGTACGGACTGCGACCCTAAACCGTAAACTCCGAAACCCCTAAAAACGAAGCAAAAGTGTTGACGAGTAGGCAGGGCCCAATATCAGCCTCGGATTTACCGCGCACAATGGTGAGACAAAGATCGCAGTGCACTGTACAGCTCCACGCCATGCAGCCCAAACAACATTGAAGCATAACCTCTCCTTATATACTCTCCATCGTACTTAACCCTAAACCCTGAACCCGAAACCCTAAACCTATGGTGGACTTTGGTGTTGCTTGAGGGCTGGAACACTTGCAGCCGACCTGGGGCGTTGAAACCTGAAAGAGATGGTCGGGAAACGGCGATTGCAGCCGAACAGGTGTACCTCGACCCCCCACACGACCCTCTTTCATACCCCAAGTACTCACTGTTAGAGGGCGCTTTGAGGGGTGCTGGTACACACATGGCATGCTGCACTTAACGCTGCGACTTGACTGATCAGATAAAAGACAAATCCCAGGCCCCTGACTGAGTCCCCTGAGGCTCCCGGGCCTTAATAATCAGAATTGTTTTTTTTTTTTTTTTTNNGCCATACTATACCCCAAAACCCTATTCTAAGTATGAAGGCCCCTATATTATACGAAAAGTACCTACTTTGGCAAGAGATCGTGCCTGCCTAGGGCCATTCGGACTCTTGGGGATTCGAAGCTCCGAACTATACGGAGGACCGCTGCCCGAAATTCGAAGTACCGGGCTTCTCGGCTTTAGGGGTTTAGGGTTTAGAATAGAGGGGTAGGGTTTAGAAATTAGGAGTTAGGGTTTAGAATTTGGGGTTTAGGGTTTAGGGTGCAAGCCTTTCGAATCATACCGTGCTCTCACATGGCATCTCGGTTAAGTCCGTCTCGCTTGGAGTCCAATTGTTCCTTTCTTCCTGCGGAAGATCGCGAAGATGCAGCCAAAAGCAATTGCGCTTTGATCTGGAAACATCGTGGCAAGGCTTCCTGGGTTGTCTTAAATGCCTAAACCCTCAGCCCACAACCCTAAACTACTAAACCCTAAACCCTAAACCCCTAAACCCCTAAACCCTAAACCCTAAACCCTAAGCCCTAAGCCCTAAGCCCTAAGCCCCTAAACCCTTGACCCGACACCCTAAACCCCAAGTGCTGCCTAGCTTCAGAGACGCCCAGCGTGCTTTCATAAAGCCTGACTGTCTGTTGAAGGCCTTCACCCAGAGCCCAGGCAAGTGCACTTCTCCACGGTTACCCACCGAGTAGCTGGCAATGGAGCGACGAAGCGTTTCCTAGGTTGGCCCGTTACTTGAAGACTCTAATACCCTTAATGATCAGAATAGGGTTTTGGGGCCCCTTGTACTATAGTTAGAATAAAAAGAAGCCCCCAAAACAATATAGATAATTATTAAGGCAGGCCCCTATATTATCCGTACATGATGTCCCCTGAAGGCCGATAGCCGCCGATAGCCTACAAAAAACCTAAATCCGAAACCCTAAAAGATACGAACCCAAAGCGTCCTATGTACCCATATCGTCGAATCTAGGCTTTCTATATCAAGCGTTACCATTCTGGTTTAGGGAAGTATCCCCCATAACAGTCATGGGACCCTTTGGGGAACCGATTGGGTATTGGAGAACTCTAAACCCTAAACCCTATACCCCAAAACCCTAAACCCTACAACCCTAAACCTTAAACCCTATAAACCCTAAAACCCTAAAGCCCTAAACCCTAGAAACCCTAAAACCCTAAACAGTGGCTCAGTTTCCCAGTCCGTCGGACGGACGAAACTCCGCAAACACGGCACTTCCCCGTGCGCAGACGTCTCTGTAGAAGTCCGTGGATCCCGGTGCTTCAGATGGATCTGCCTTTCTGGCTAACCCGACACTTTAAACCCTAAATCCTAAATCCTAGACCCTAAACCCTAAATCCTAAACTATAAACCCTACACCCTAAATCCTAAACCCTAAACCCTAAAACTCTAAACCCTACGTAAATCCTAAACCGTACATCCTAAACCGGTGCTTCAAATGGATCTGCCTTACCGGCTGCTGGTCCACGTTGCGAACCTGGGCAGTTCTTGAAGTCAAGGGTTTAAGGGGTTTGGGGTTTACGTTTAGGGTTTAGGGTTGAGGGCGTGTACAAGAGTATCTAACATAACAAATGTACCATAGTACATTTGATAAAGTATCATACAGCATGACACGCTCCAATGCAATATGATATAGAACAGTATAGTGCAATATAGTATAACCCATCATGAAACGTAATATATTCATCACATAAAATCTTTATGATACCATATCACAACATATCATATCATACCATATCGGATATACTATAAGGTTATACAGCATGATAGCATGTAGTAGAGTACAGTATACTGTAGTATAATGAGCTGGAATATCAAAATACAAGGCAATAGCATCTAACACATGTTAGCATAATACAGAATGTACATAACCTTACATAGAGCAGCAACACATGACATGATATAACATAACGTAATGTAGTAGAGCAGAACAGAATAGACTATAGAATATATGATATAACAGACTTAAAGTGAGCTATGCTATCATATTACGTAATTTGATATCACATTACGTAATTTAGGACCATACTATTTGAACCGTAATGCATTATAAAAGTTGTTCATGTGGTGTAATAGAAATAGCAGAATTTCATATAATACAACATAATACCCAACAGTGAAATATAACATAACACATCATAAAAAACATTGTACCGTATAAGAAATTAATGTACTTTACAGTATCATGTAATATACAAACTGAGGCAGAACGCAATGTATAACATAAGGACAGTTTATGGAAGATATTATATTACATTGTCATCATGATGCATACTATAAAATGGAATATCATATGTAATTTCAGGTTTAATGTAGCAAGACTAACACTACCATACACCATATGGTACGGCAATGGTATGGTATGGTTTTGTATGGCATAGTATGCGAAAGTATGGTATAGCATGGTGCAGTATGTTGTAGTATGTTATGGCAGAGTACAGTATAGTATAGTATGGTATCTCATAAAGTAGTACGGTATACTATACTAGACTAGACAATGCTATACTATGACATGATACAGTAACTCGGGTTGCTTCTGAAGAAGACTGAAAGTATGCGCAAAAGTTGAAAGCCGTTTCCGCGAACAGTCTCGGAACAAGTATCATGACCTCTTCCAAGTTCGACATGGTCCGCTGCACGGATGATGCACCTGATCGGCTGGATCGTGGGGACCGTCTCCGGGATCCTCGGTTCCCCAATAGCCCCTTTGTCTATGAGGGTTCCCTTTTCCTGTTAATCAGGCCTAGAGAAGAAACCCTGAAACAAAAAGGGAAAAGGCTCCTAAGGCTACTAAGGCTACTACATATATATATATATATATATAGTAGCCGTTGAAACTTCTCTTTTGGGGCTGTCTTAAGGGATCCTAAGTATACGGCGGGTTGAACTAAATCAAAAATTGGAACTACGATGGAAACAATAAGTACTCCCTAACCCAGCAAGCCCTAAACCCTAAGCATTGGGAGCCGCGGAGCTCTGTCCTGATAGATGCCGCCTCACGGCACCTTGCGCTGGCTGCGCGAGCACCGCGGTGGAAGAATAAGTGGCATCAGGGATGGGCTGCGCCTCCACATCGAGCCTCTCTTCTCCGGTAGTGGGGCCCAGAACAAGTTCAAACTTCCAAAGAAAATACTCAAAGAAAAGACCCAACTACCCAGACCTTCCTTGTACCCTCAAACGGGAGTATATAGTCCCAAACAATGGGTATGTAGATGTATTTCGGGTGGAGGGTCTAGGAATATAGGTTCAAGAGTTTCACGTTCTCCCATCGGCTGTCTAAGGAGCTTTAAGCCAAGGAGGTGGTAGGAGCCCTCACAACCGAAAAGATGTTGTAAGGCCACATGGTAGACGTCCACCCCAACTCGATGGGAATGAGCCGACCTAGGCCCACGCTTTAGGGTTTAGGGGACCTCGCCTGTTCAGTATCCCAATCAAACAAAGCATAGACACACTTTTTGCGTTAGCCATGTGACATATGGGTAGTTGACAAAATTATGGTCCCTTTTGGGGTACCCTAATTAATAGGTGCCGTATTATAATAAGGACCCAAAAAGGGACCATAATTTTGACAACCACCCATATGATGAATAGGAATCCAGACACAACAACGGTAAAACATGTGACTGAATAACCTAGCGACTGCAGAGACAGACGCAAACATGGGGCAGCAAGTTGCTCGGCTGTTTTGCCAGCATCCAGCGGCTGCGAGATGAACTTGTCAAAGATTTCAAGCTCGCTTGAGTCCTGAACTTGGATGTTGCCGAAGGCCGTCTTGTCAAAGTTTAGGGCTAAGGTCTAAAGTTTAGGGTTTAGGGTTTGGAGTCCTGAACTAGGATGTCGCGGAAGACAGTCTTGTCAAGGGATTCCTTTCTGAACAAAATCCGGTTCAGGCAATTAGTACCTTCTTGTATGCGCAGGCCATCGTCGAGAAGAACTTCGCCGTCACAGACACCTCGAAGCATCTGACGAAAAGCCAGGATAATGGATTCAGCGTCCATGTTCCTGATTTGCGCTGCTAGACGATCTCTGAGGGTGCGCTCCAACACGACAGAGATGACCGAGACGAGAATCGCGAAAACTGCATGATCAATGGCAAACTCGAGGACGTGGAACTCTCTGCCAAACAGCAAAAATTGCTGACCAATCTCCATCACTGCAAGCACAACGTTCGCTGGGACGTGAACCGCACTGTCAACATAGCAAACGCATAAAATGACCTTGTATCCCAAAGTTGTGCTGTCAGAGAAGCCACTATTCAACAGAAGAGCCGCGCCGGCTAAGAAGTAGTAGAAGACGAAGAGCTTTCGTAGGCCGGATGTCGACAATCTGAAAATCCCATTGGCAATGCAGGTGTGCATCGTGTAGGCGCAAACATACGCAAACATTTGAGCGGCGCATGTTGGCAGATCGTTCGCGTTCACAAGTGGACAACTGACCAGCGAAACAAAGTTGACTTGCCGCAAGAATCGGCTTGCCAGCACATAATTATTCTCCCTTAGTTGGTTCATGGCTTCATCGAGACGCCTTTGTTGACTGCTCGGCTTTGGCGCTGGGGGTTGCTGGCAAAAGCTCCACACACTACGACACATTTCACTGAGATCAGCTCTTGCTGTTCTCCAGTGAATGGCCACCAACAGCATGAAGAATTGCATCCAAGCCATAAGCATCGCTACCTAGACCCCCCTAGGGGCTCTATTTGAGCGCCCTTGTGGGGGTCCTGAGGCAGGCTCTTTTATGAACCTGAACTAAATACTGGAAAAGCAAAGCTCTGGATGCGGAGCCGATGCCTACAGATCCAAGTGGCCATGACCCGGTCCTTTACATTTCGCGCCGGGTACGAGTCTTTATACTATATAGAAGCAAAATACAATGAAATGTAATGTAATACCATAAAATGTCATGCAATGTAGTATAGTATAGCATAAAATAATATGGTATGACATAAGGGTTAGGATGCCGGACAGCGCTGACCGTAGTGTTCGGAAAGCTGTCAGACGGGATAGCAGACGTGAAGTTGAAAGTTGCCAACCTGAGGCACAAAACAACGACAAACGTGATACTACTACAAACCCTAATAGGCCCTAATACGTTGCAATCAATGACTGTCCTTCACATACACGGAACAGTGAAATACCTGTCAACTGGCACACGTCAGGCAACTTAACTGAGGAGCTTGGACAAGTTCCAGTCTTCTGGCGAGAAGCCCCAGTACCCTCCTCAGAACTCAGAGCTACCCAGACCTTCCAGAATCCCCTAATTAAGGACTCTCTCTCTCTATATATATATATATATATATGCTAACCCCCCCCTCCAAGAACTACCGCGAGGTGCCGCG